CCTTCAGACTGCCTAATGTCAGAGTCGCATTTTTTTTTTTTTTTCTGTTTTAAAATGAGATTGTGTGAATGCCAGCCTTCTTTCTTGCCAGGATCGAGTAGTTAAGTGTTGGAAGGGCTTTGAAAACTCCAAATCATATTACAGTGTAAGAGACCAATCTTTTCAGGTTTGAACAGTCTCATTTTTACCAGGAAGAAATGAAAATGGCATTTTAAAGTTTTGTTTAGAGGGTATAGTATTAATATATATGAACTTTCTTTGCGGAGAGGGGGACATAAGTCTTTCAAATAGTCAGGATGGGAATTGGTGGGTCCTCAGCTACTGAGGCTGTTTAGATTGTATAAAAGAGGTATTGGTGTCCATTCTTGGAGGGTTATCTCTTCTCTGCTGTCCTTTCTCATAAGTGAGCCTCAGTTTTATTTTTAAAGGGCTCAAGGACAGGTTCTTAGAGCTCCCTGGATTTTGTTACATCTTGTCCTTGTAAATCAGCAAAACAAGGAAATGTCGTTGTATATTCTGGGGTTTCACTGAATGGGAATTCTGGAGAGATATATTTTAAGAGTGGCTGAGAAACTTTTTTTTTTTTTTTAAGTGTCAGAATGGAGAAAGAGCAAAGCTGAGTCTTCTTGAGTTTAAAGCAAGAATAGGACTTACTCATAACATTTGCCAAAGTGTATAGGAGTTTAAGGTGACATCTTTTCAAAGGTAAATGTCATTACCATAAAAATGTGGATTGCAATAGATTTTGCTGTCACTTAGCATAAAATGCTGAAAGGTAAAAGCTAATCCTGAACAGCAGCTCTGATGGTAACTTGACCCAGGGCCTTATAGCTTCCAGGGTCACTGTCAACTCTGTGCTCAGACATGAGAAGGGAGAATATTACTGGTTTTCCTGATGAAACAGCTCTGGTTTGAATCCGTGTGAACTACTTCTTTGGTTTGTGGAAAAATGTAGAAGAGCCCCAAGAACCACTGACCATTATAAATTATAGGAATTGGCCTTTTTCTCCCAAACATGTACCTAGGATTATATTACCAATTCATTGAGAACATGAGATCTGCTTAAAATGAAGGATACAATTTGTTTCCCTTTGTGAAAGGAGAAAGTGGGCATCATGGGGAGAAAGGAAATTGGCAGAAAGCCGTGCCCCATAAAACTTCATAGCATTTAGAAAAAATCAGAAATCGAAAAGATCTAAGAGGTCATCTTCAATCTTCCCACCATTTCAGGGGCCAGTATAGGATCATTCCATATGGAATCCTTTTCTTGTTTTGTCCAACCTGGTATTAAATATCTCTAGGAATGTAGTTTTTATCACACTTATGGGAAAGAGTTCTTCTGTCCCGTAGGTTTTTGCCAGCATATTTATCCTGAATTTTTTTTTTAAATACAGTATTCTCTAAATATTTATGACTATTTCTTTTTCTTTCTTCTTTTTTTTTTTCTTTTTTTGCATTTTTAAGACCTCTGTCTTCAAACTAATTTGTCTTTGGTGTGAGTGTCAGCTTCAAAAAAAAAAAAGGTTTCCTGATAGCTGTTTTTTATCTAGACTACCTGGATTTAATTCCTTTAAAACTTTCTTTAAAGTCAGTACTTCCAGACGCTAATCTGTTTTATTGCTCCTAGCTGAACTCCTTTTGATTTATGTCTCTCCAGTAATAAGATGCTCTGAACTATGTCAGTATTTGAGACCTTAGCAGAGTTAAAGAGAGTAGGAGTGCCCTATTTCTGCCCTTTGATGCTCAGATATCCTTAAATCACCCATATCGTCTTTGTTGTTGCATGTTGCATTACAGAATTTAAGGCAAAAATGTTTTCGGTAGAGTCTTAGTAATTTTGCAAACATTATACTTTAGTTGTCACTCTTTATCCAGTGATAATTATCTCATCATGAACATCTTAAAAATAATTAGGTCTTCTTAGCAAATGGCCCTGTAATAGGCACTTGGGCATAAGCACCTTATTAAAAAAAAGATGTATTGACTTAAACATGATACAGAGTAATGACATACATTTTGAGTAATAAGATACCCTACTGGCAAATTATGAAATTGAATGGTATAGTTAAGAGAATATGGAATTTGGATTTAGAAAGCCTATATTGCAGGCCTCACTCTATCACTTTTGATGGTGTGGCCCTGGGCTTGCTGCTTCTCTGTAGCATATGGATGATGATAATACCTGCTGTGCATTGCTTCTGTGAGGCTTTTAAGAAGTAATGTGTGTAAAATATTTTGTCAGTTACAAAGCACTATATAAAGACTAAGGATCTTACTTTTATTAAGGGCAATTTCAGAATATTTATAACATTTAATATTTTAAGGTGGGATTAAGGAGTGAATAAGATGTGATGAGACAGAAATTTATACAGAAGAAATGAGATAGAGTTGGGGAATTGGTAAAAAGGATTAAGTGAATGTAGGGAGAATTGTTTTTAAGGGACCCAGGTAGAGAACAGGGTGGCTTACTTTTTTTATGGTAATGAGACAAGAGACTAATCTTTAGTTTTGTTATATGCTAAGAGTAAAATGAACCAATAGTACTTGGGTAAAATACACTTTTATAGTTAATGTATTCATATAACCACCTTGCTGTGATTTGTTGTTGTTTCCCCCTGAATTAATAGGGCAGTTAAGTCAAGTGGCTTCTATTTTCCAAATACTTTTAAGCACTTTAATGCCACTGCATTTTCTCTAACTTTCTAAAACTATTGTTTACGTACCAATACTTTGGGATGGTCTCTGGTTACTCTTTTAATACAGTTATCTACTCTATGCTTAGGCAGCTTGAATTTCATACAAACATGGTGATGATGGAAGAAATAAAAATAGGATTGTTTTTTTATACCTTGGAATCTTACCTTTTTCCTTACCTTTCGTACACACCATTTATTATGCACATCAAAAGCCAGCTTAATATCTAAAATATCATACATATTATATCACTCTTCTCAGAATTTCTGATTATTTTTGGATTGCTTTCAGAAAATGTTCAAACTCCTCAACTTTACATTCAGAGCCTTTCACATTTCAAGTTCAGCTTACATTTTGGATCCTGTGTTTTCATATACTTTTTCTTACAGTCCTTGATTTTCATGGTCTCCTTAAAGCACCCTCATTATTTCAACCCTATACCTTTTTTCAGCCAGATATCTCTGCTTCAAATGCCTTTCTCTTGGCTCTGTTCAAGTCTCACCCCCTACCCAATTCCTGAAGGCCCATTGCAAATGCCCCTTATTTTCACAAGGCCTTTCCTGAGCATGTCATTGTGTAGTGATCTCTTCTTTCTGTGGACCATTGTAGCTTTTACTCTTTATGTTGTTCTTTTTGGCTCCTTCTGCCTTGTTTTGCTCTTTAACTTTATGTATATGAAAAGTTTTCCTTTCCATTAAATGCTTTACCTTTTCAATTAGAATACACATCTTTATACGAAGGGACCATATCTAATTATTGTGTATTCTGAAATGTCTAGCATTATATAGAGCTTCGGCAAATATTTTTGGATATATATTGGGTTAAGAGCACTGTTAAAGCCCTAGGAAGATGGAGGTGATTAATGAAGAAATGAGTGAATTAGTATATGAAGATTCTATTCCTTTTTTACTTTCAATGCACAATCTTATAAGTCCATTCTTAATGCTTATTTTAATGACATTCTTCATTATTTTAACCATGTACTCTTAAGTAGTCTAAGTCATCTTGGTTTCATGCTATGCATTAAATCAACCTTACCACCTGGTTTAAAGCTTTGCACTGGACCTATACTGTTTTTATATTATATCTGTTTCTTCTTTGCCTTGACTTTTGCTTTTCCTTGTTTGCGTCTTATATAGTTTTATGCCTGATTTTCCAATTCCTGATTTAATAGTTCTTTTTCACAAACTTTGAAAGTTGTTTTTTTTAATCTCCCTCATCTTGAAGATTTTCTCTTCAGAGACCTTCTCAAATTCTAAATGATGAATGT